CGCAGGGCTCCGCGGCCTCCCCCCCCGCGCAGGGAGGCCCGGGGTCGTGACTCAGCACTTAGGCACGCACCGCCGGCCCGCGGCTGGCCGGGAAATAAACCGGGAAGCGCTGAGCGCCGCACCCAGAGTAGCTGCCGGGAGAGGGAGCGGTGGCGGAATTCATCTAAGAGGTAAGAAAGGGGGGACTGAACTGGAGAGGGAACGCTGGAACGCTTCAGCTCCCGCGTCCGGAGCCTAAATCCCGCTTCTTCCTTCCGGTATTGTGCAGTTGCCTCCGGGCTGCGGCGGAAACGATACGGGCTGCTAGTAGGTGCAGCACGCGTTGAGAGGTCTTGAGGGTATTCCAAACTCAAGCAGCACATGTTTGGAGTGAAAAAAGCTTTCCAAGAATGGCAGCGACACAGACTTGAAAACTGTTTTAAAGGTAGATGAAGGAATTTTGTGCTGGACCTTGCTTCAGTTTGATTTGCTGATGAAATGACTCTGTCGACCTGGCGTACATACAACTTGCCCCTCTTCTCCTAAAGCGATTATTTTTAACTCATTCAGTTCAAATCATTGGTTCTGAATCCTGAGTTGTCATAATTCAGTTTGAAACTGGATTATATACACTTGTTAGTTTACGCAGGAATCAGTGTAACCTAAGTTATTCTGCTAAATTTAGTTGATTAAAGCGTCTAGATAGGGTTTTAAAGTACTTTTTAGCTAAATGAATTTAAAGTGATTTACTGTGAAGTGATACAATTTCTGCGGGTAGACAACAGGTTGAGATCTGAACCTTTTTGATAGCAGTTTAAGTGAAAAGGGTGTCACAACACATGGGATTTCATATGAGGAGTGAAGGAATGTGAAGAACAATTATTAAGCTATGGGAGAGTAAGTTTGAACACTGGAAAAAGCAGTCTGACCTTTTTTTTTTTTTTTTTTTGCCAGGCTTTGACTTGTGATTTAGGAACAGGACACAATTCAGGATTCCTGGGTTCTGTCAAACCTCGTTTCCTAACTGGGCATCTGGACTTGGGGACAAGTCTTATGAGGAGCGGCTGAGGGAACTGGGATTGTTCAGTCTGGAGAAGAAGAGGCTGAGGGGAGACCTTACCGCTCTCTACAGCGACCTGAAAGGAGGTTGTAGAGAGGTGGGTGTTGGTCTCTTCTCCCAAGTAACTACTGATAGGACGAGAGGAAATGGCCTCAAATTGCATCGGGGAGGTTTAGACTGGGTATTAGGAGAAATTTCTTTACTGAAAGAGTGGTCAGGCACTGGAACAGGCTGCCCAGAGAGGTGGTGGAGTCGCCATCCCTGGAGGTGTTGAAAAAACGTGTAGACATGGCGCTTTGGGACATGGTTTAGTAGGCATGGTGGTGTTGGGTTGACAGCTGGACTGATGATCTTAGAGGTCCCTCCAACCTTAATGATTCTATTCTAGTTTTACTTTCATTAAAAAATAATCCAGCCGCCAAGCCAGGAAACATGAAATTAATTGTTACTCTGCCCTTAACTGGTTTAGTGGTGGACTTGGTAGTGTTAGGTTAATGGTTGGATTTGATGATCTTAAAGGTCTTTTCCAACCTAAACGATTCTATGATTCTATTTTCTATCTGCCTCTGAACACAAAAATGCAACAGTCTCTTCTCTGTGCCCTCACGTGCTATGATAGCCTCTGTAATTTATCTGCTGAGCTGTCCTCCCTTTTTCTTGTGCTCCCTAGAAAGCTTTGCTGCTTCCAGCTGCTGTAAGCAAAAGATTAAAGACCTACCTGCCCATTTGGGCAGAAGGCACTGAAGCACCTTTTTACCTATATAACCTTCCACAGGCAGAAAAGAACTGCCTAGGCAGTGGTAGAAGTTGGTGTAGTGGAAGGGTGATTAGTCTGTATGAAACTTCAGGAAGATTGAGTTGCTTGTGCAGAGCCTATTTAGACTAGCGCTGAGCGCTATTACATTTTAGTTGACATTTACTTATAAGGGAGGCTTTAGGGTTTTCCTGTGTCAAATGTGAAGCACAGTCTGGTAGCAAGATACAACTGGGAGTGGATGGATATTCCACAGCTTCGGCTTGGGTGTCAGGCTTGTAACAGAGGAACACCTCCCTGCTACAGCCAGAGAAGAATGAGCCCTCAGACTGCAGATCAAGGAATATGTGTGAACCACTGTGCTCTCTCCACTGAGAGTTGTAGTAAGTTACTACAGGGACTCTTCCCATCTACAATGGAGAGAAGCAAAGATCTGAATGTGGAAGATGTCTGAAAGAAATAGAAGAACTTAGGGATGTCCTGAGGTCATCTAGCCCAGTTTTCTGCTCAGAGCAGGCCTAAATTCAAATTTAGACTGGGTTGTTCAGAGCTTCTGCCAAATCTGGTCTTTGTTGTAGTCTTGTGTTTGGAGAAGGAATTAAGTTTCAAATTTATTTACAAGGAGACTCCTCTTCTGAAGAGAATTCAGGGCTTCCAAACAGCTGTTGGATGAAATCTTATTACAAGGATTGTTGTATTGAAGATTCAAGTGTTATTAGCGTTTGCTTTCTCTTTCAGGCAGAGAGACTGTTGGTACCAGCAACATGGAGGATGATGTCAGCTTGAAGTTCCGTCAGCATCTTCTGTTCATTGATGAAAATCTGGTGGCTGAAGATGTAGCAGCTTTAAAGTTTCTCTGTACTGACTTGCTCCCCTTCAAAAAACTAGAAAGTGTGACGTCAGCCGTGGACATCTTTCAGCTTCTCATGGCTGAAGACTATCTGAATGAGGAAGATACTTTCCTACTAGCTGAACTTTTGTACAGAATTAAATGTCACTCCTTGCTCAAGCAACTTGGTTATACCAAGGAGAAAGTGCAAGAATGTCTGCATGAGAAGGGAAGAGTGTCTCCATACAGGTAAGTTTGCAGTGGGATTCTGTTCTCTCCATTACTGCCATCTGTGCCATACTGTTTCCATTTTTAAATTCTCAGATTGCTTTTAGTTTCTACACCGTCTTCTCTTCTGCTTTTATCTCACTGGATCTCTGTTACAGGCAGATGCTGTATGAATTGTCAGAGAACATTACTAATGAGATGTTGAAGGATATCGTATTCCTCCTGCAAGACTGTCTTCCAAAGCGACACGTAACTCTTGTATGTGAGGAGAGAGCCAAATGTGTATATGGCGGGCAGGGAAGAAGCTGGGGGGGAAATAGGAGCAAAAGTGTGAAGAGAAAACTATTTTGCAGTATAGGGCATAATCTGCAACTAGGCTGGTCAGTATTTGTAGGGTTAGCAAGGAGGAAGCTGTTGACAGGTAAATGTGGAATTTGGTGCTTTGTGCCAAGGTCAATCGCTGGCAGTCCACAGTCTTGCAGTACATCATAAAAGGGTGACAAATCAAATCTTTGCCCTGCTTGAGCCGTGTGCGAAGGAGATTCATGTCCGTATGTCATTGATACCATTTCACAGCAGTAAAGCCTTCTCGAAGCCAAGAGTCATTAGTATGGTTTGGGTGAATCTATTTAAACAAGACCATACCAAACAATAACGCAACCAGTAGCTTCCCATGGAGCAACATTTCCACCTCCCACAGTGATGTAAAATTGACTGTTTGGACCTTGTTGGTAGGAAGCAAAGCAGATAATAATGTGATTGATTGAGGCAGACAGGGCTGAGGCAGGTTTTGAGTTCTAAGGAACAATAACTGTATTTTACTCTCTCCTTTCGGCTGTCAGTCCGCTCTGGAATTGCTGATTTTATTGGAAAAACGGGGCCTTTTAACTGAAGACAATGTACAGGTACTGGAGGAAGTCTGTATGAGAGTTTCACCTGATCTCCTGGAAACAGTAAACTGCTACAAAAGGGCAAAAGGTGAGGAATTCAGAGTCAGGGAGCAGGTTTGCTAAAATGCCAGAAGCTCTAGAAGGGGCTGGGCAACTGAACCTCAAGGTCCTATGTGTGCATTGCTGGAACAGGAGCTAGAGTGGGATCGCTCATCTTCACACACAAATTTGGCATAAGAGTCTCTAGCTTGCATTACTTCCTAGCTGAATTCCAGTAGGCATGGGCTGGAATATCTGGAGCCACATAGAGCAGTCCAGCACATACAGAACAGGCTGGGAAACTGAAAATCTATTTATAGTTGCGTCACACTTCTCCATTTCCCCATGAATAGTATTGAGATGATTATGATTGTCCTGTAAAAGGCACTTTGTGATGCATGAATGTACACTACAACAAGGCAGTTGCCTGTTAATAAGCTGGCGAGGCAAACTCTGTGTGCATGTGTGTCTGATACATGGTAGGCTTTATTATTAAATGTGTGATTCATGTTATCAGGGGTTATACTGCAGTTTGTAATATTCCTTCATTTAACATCCTGTGGCGTGACTATAAGCATACTGGGGAAAAAGTTCTATTTCCATTTATTTAAGCACCAGGAAACAAATTCTGGGAAGTACAAAGCTACGTCTCCCCAGTAGGTGCAAGGGCACTCAGTGTTTCATAAGTTCCATTCCCCCATGCTTTTTGAGTGTGTTTCAAAGTTGCTTCCTATTTTAATATATCTTTCAGTAAGTATAGATCTGCATTCGCCTAATGTGCAGATTCATACTGGTTTAACTAAAAGGCACTTGGCTTCTCTCATTTTGTCTCTTTCTGCTCTTAGTGTCTCTGCCTCAGCAGGAGAACACTCTGCCAGTCAAGGAATCTTCACTGTCTCACACTAGAGACATCAAAGTATTCACTTCCCCACAGGTACATGGGAGTACCTACTGCCAACTTGGGTTTTAGTGGTTTGGGGGGTTGGGGTTTTTTCTTGCCTTTATTTTGAAACCGTACTGGCTGTGAGATTTTTTGCTAAATGCTCTTGGTTTAGGAAGGGAACAAGCATATTTGTTCAGTGTGCAAGAAATACAGCTGCATATAGTATCAAATAGTGGAAGTCAAAAATACCACTATTGGTCATGTGCAACTGGGGAAAAAGTTAATGTTAAGAAGAGGGGTGAGTGAGAGAAAAAGCTAGACAGGTGCCTTCTAGAGAATGGGTCAGTCGGTACTGATTTTTAAAGTTTTAGCTGATCAACACTAAATGGTCTCCGAAGGCTAACACCATATTTTGATGATCAGTTCAAACTGCTGCTGCTGCTGCTAAAGGAAGTGGTCCCATTTTCTCAATATACCAGTCCTTGATCAGTTAAACCCCTCCTGCAGCTGTATGATGAATCAGATTGGGAAACTTACCAGGGCTATAACTGATCTTTTTGGGGAAGAAGAGAGGAAAGGAGGGAGTTTTAGCCCAGTTCCGAATGAGGAAAACCAGTGATCTTTCTAAGGATACTTCCCAGAAGTGAAGTTCTAGTAGACAAGAGCTGAGGAAAATGAGCTATTTAATGTGAGAAGGGTTTGTATTACTGCTGCTTTGAGCTATATTTGCTCTGCATGTGCAGAGGATTTGGGGAAGCCTTCATGTATGACACTTGGCATGGCAAGAAAATGAATGTAGTTTTATTAAGAAAACATAGATTTAAAATAATTTTAAAAAAGACTGAGACCGTTTCTGTAATCCTGATGATCACGTTTGATTTTTTCTTTAAAATGATGAGAGGTTATACACTTTTTCCATGCTGTATAATAAACCATTGACACTTACTGCTAGAAGATGTCTCTTAGGCAGGACCAGAATCACTAGTTACAGCAATTTGTACTCAAATAATTGACTACGCAAGAGAATTGATATGGGACTATGTTGGGACCTTTATTTTGTTTATATTGACTGCCTACCCCTATAGTGAGAGGATCATTTGGAAGGGAAAGAAAATTCTTTGCTGGTTCCCTTTATCCTTAAGAGAAAATATATTTGTTTCCAGCTCTGTGAGATTTTCTGTAAGTGGGGAGGTTTTTTTGTAATTTCATTATTAAATGCTTTGCTGCTCTTAGGATTTCAGTATTTTTCCTACTCACTACTTAAAGAGCTTTGTGTTAAGCCTATTTTGCTAAACTCACTATGAAAACCTATAATGATTTTTAACATGGTATTCCCCCCACTCAAAAAATAGGAGACCTCGATCAAATCTCTCGGTTCCAATATCAATGGTAAGAAATTCTGAAAATACGTCTGGGTTTTATTACCTTTATGTTTAACGTTGCATTCCTTTACTTTCTCTGGGAATTTTCTAGCATTTGGTTTAATGTAACAGACTTGCCTAGCTGTCGTCTTGGAAGAGTCTTTTGCTTTCTGCACAAATAGGTTTGAAGGATTTCTGCTCTTATATGAAAGAGGCAAGAGGAAATTGGCAAATCCCATGTACTTTGTCAGTCATTTGCTAGAAACTAATGTACTTTCTGGGAAGTGAAATAAGGGCTGGTCTGATTAGAAGCAAAAAAGATGATTTCTTTCCTGAAAACAAAAACCAAGTTTTCTGTTTAAATATCCCTGGGAGGACAAGAGAATGGGACACTGTGACTGTTCATAAAACTGAGATGTTAGTTTTTTGGGTGCAGGATTTTACCTCTGACTTCTTTTGCTGTATAGATCATTATTTTGAAGAGCCTGGGAGTGTTGCATAGTAGAGACGGATGTTGTGAATGCATGCACTAAATAGTGTATGATTTGTATAAAAGGAAACAAGTGTTTTAGGGCATTCAGAAGGAGAAGTAAATAAAGCAGCAATAAATAAAGTTACATTTTGGATCAGATCTCTGAAAGGATTCTGTACAAATAACAGTGGGTAGTTTGCATCCGTCTTTGTGACTCCACATCAAATTGACCAGTTGCAAAGTATAGCAGTACAACATCTGTCAGCTCTTTTCCACTTTCAAGCTCTGTCAGTGCAGCCTTGCTCTGAAAGTCTGTCTGAAAGTTATTATCGGTGATTCAGGAAGAACAACAAAAAAAATCTGTAATGGGAGCTTCAGCAGTAACATTGCAGCTCCTTCTTACAATACAGTTTATTTCTAAGCTGATTTCCAAATGAAAAACTCGTTTTAATGTCTTGGGTAGAATCTATCCTTGTACCCTGGGTATCTTTGTTCCACAATACCAATACAAATAGAAACCTTGCCTTTGTCACAAAAATATATAATAAAAATAACTGGAGACATGTTCAGAATAGATCATTTGAACATGACAATGCTATCTCATACAGAGGAATTACTCCTTTCAATGAAACAGTATTTCAAATACAAAAAGTGCTGTATTGTGCTAAGCTCCTTTTTGCTACATGCACCAATATCGTATTTCTCTTCATAAATATCTATGCTGGTTTTTTTTCCTAGATAACAAAGCAGCTAGTCTTACACATGGCTTCTCTGAAATGAACCTGGAGCTGCCTGGAGAATTCAGCAATGTAGACAATGAATCCAAGGTTTGAGACAATCTCTTATATCCTTCTTTTTGAATACCTGGGTGTATGAGGTCTTCATCCCTGTAATGACATTTTTCATGCAAGGACATGTGAGATGTCTGTGTGTCCCATGAAGTTTTTTGAGTTGTCTGATCAACTGGAACGTTTCAGAGAATATTTTAACCTTAGAGGCCAGAAACTTACCAATATTGAAAGGTGTGGTGGAGGCAAAACAGGCATAATACCTTTGATGTTATCCACACAGCAGTGCATCTGCTTATCTTCCTGATGCAGGCAAAACATTTAGCATTTTCTTAAGTTGTGTGTTTTAGAGATGGCAGCAGAATGTGCAGGATAACGGAGACAAACATAGCTTCACAGTTCTCTCTTTCTGGATCTGGCTTAGAAGAAGCTTCGGGGCATCTTGAAATTAAAAGCGATAAGGAGTAGCATGCAAAGACCTTGTGAGAAGGATAAAAGAACGTAAGAGTTTTTAGTAAGCTATTGCAGACATGTAACAGTCTTCATCAATAAACAAGAGGTCTTGGTACAGGAGAAAAGATCCCTTTTGTGAGATCCCTTCTTAGAAGCCTCATGTGCACTCTTTAACAGCAGTGCAACCACTGAATTCTCCTTCTGGCTTTTTCCTTCTGGTGAGCACGGATATTGAGGGAGCAAGTTGCTGCATTTCTTTATAGCTATTTAAGTTCTTGAAGGTCTGTGCCATAACATACCTTTTCATCACTTGATGTTCGGACTGCTGTAGCAAAAGTAATTCTTGCTGCTGCTGAAGGAGCTTGGAGTGCTACCTTCATTTTGTTCTACGAAAATGCACAAAAGCAGGTGTTTATTGCTCTCTCTCGTGAGCAGAAAGGAGCTGGAGTGGTGGGAGGTTTTGATTTCAACCCGAGGTTGACTTGAAGAGATGGTACTTGAAGTTTTGGTGACTTCAGATTTTAAAACATTGTTTCTTAAGAGTGGGAGGTAGCTTTTAAGTCTTAGCAAAACATAGTGTGGCAGGCTTATGCACTTCTGAGATGTCTGTTCGACTTTCATCCTTTTCCAGTGAATCAGTGTGAACCACCTGCTCCAGGTATTCATCACTACTCTGAAAAAAAAACAGTTCAAATGTCTAATATCCTATAGTTTCACTGTGAACCCTCTGCCATCTGAAGTTAAAATCTTGTCATGACATTGGAAACAGTTGGGGACTTCTGTCCCCATCACCAATTCAGATTGCAGAGTTTGGATGCTGAATCCTCCTTTTTGCATACAGATGACCAACCCAGCTGCTAAACCTTTGCTCTACAGTTTGATAGTATGGTGACAGGGTGTGCTTGAGGCTTCACCCATGTCTTTTCACACAAGGAGGCACCGAGTTCCAGCTTTTCAAAAGTAACCCACAGTCTTAGGTGCCTCTAATTTTTGGATGCCAATTTTGAGACATGTTAAGGAAATACAAGTTGAATAAATTAATTGAGGCTGTAAGCCTTTTTTCCTCTCCTTTCTACAGAAGATGACAAGCTACAAAATGGATGGACCACACAGAGGATTTTGTCTTGTTATTAATAATGTTAACTTCGATAGGTCTCTTCCAGAGAGGAAGGGTTCTTGCAAAGATGCTGGTAAGTTACTGAAGTGATATTCTTGGAGGATTAGTCTCTCTGTTTCCCCATATGAATGCCTAGCATTGCTCTATATTTTATTGTTTGTATTTTAGTTAGTTAATACTTTTAAAGAGCAAAATGTTTGATATGTGTTAAATTATGTCATTTGTGTATCCTAGGGGAGGAGTGGTTAAAGGATGAGTAGCCACTGAGTCTGATGCAGTTGGATCATTCTTGAATCATTTTAAGAATCTCTTTTTACTTAGCCTTTACCTATAGCTATAATAAAGAACTAAAACTAAACTAAACCATCATTCTACATAATATAATGCAAAATTCCATAATCAGGCAACTCTGTGCATACTACTTATTTTATTCTGTTCATTCTATTTATCTCTTGTGTATGAAACTCTAATAGTCAACACTGCAACTGGAAAATAATGTGAGGTAAGGGTTTGAAAGATCTAATCTGAAACTTGGGCGGCGGGGATTCCTCATATTTTCAGGTGTCATTTGTGAGCTCACTTAGTGTGAGTCATTATACATTGTAAAAGGTCATTGTGTTTTCTTAAACTTGTCTGGAAAAATCTAGGAACTTTGTGTTTAAGCTGATGCCGTCTTTTTTTATTCCAGTTAACCTTTAGTTGATACTAGTATAAGCATGAACCTGCAGAAGTGTCAGGGTGTAAGGTCTTCCCCGGTTCAGATTAGTTTGCATGGTGACTTCATAAAATGGTTTTCTACTGCCTGAATTTTTCCTTTTATCTTTCTTACAATTACAGGGGAACTGGAGCGAGTATTCACATGGCTTGGTCTGGATGTGAGGACTTACATGGATCTGACGTCTTGGCAGATTAAAGATCTCATGCGAACCTGGCAGCATGTGCAAGATCACAAAGACAGGGACTGTTTTGTATGTTGTATTCTGTCTCATGGAGAGTCAGGAGCGATCTATGGGAAAGATGAGGAACTTGTATCAATCCGCATGATCATGTCCCACTTCACTGCCAAACAATGTCCACAGCTGGCTGAAAAACCCAAACTCTTCTTTATCCAAGCATGTCAGGGTAAAGAGATACAGTGTCCTGTCTATGTTGAAGCTGATGCACGAATTCCTGACTTGTCTTCCATGCAACAGAGGATTTCTCCTTCTGAAAGTATTCCTGAAGAGGCTGATTTCCTCCTAGGCATGGCCACAATTGACGGATATGTCTCTTTCCGGCATGTTGAACAGGGTGCTTGGTATATTCAGGCCCTGTGCAGCAAGCTACAGTTGTTGGTACCAAGGTGAATACTTTGCTTAGCTCTTCTGTGAAAAAATGGGAGGAACTTCCCCTTTTTTTTTTCCTCCAACGGCAAATTCACATAGGAACACTAACCCATGTTCTGAGGTGGACAGAATTAGTTAAATTGATGATTTGTTAGCTTGCCACTGATAAATTTACATTAACACTGCTAGTCCCATAGAGATAATCTGGAGAATGTGAATTTTATTGTAAAAAAAACTCAAAAGCTCCCATCTATATTCTTTAAGGCAGAGGCATCTGTTTCTTGAGTGGATTTAGGTAAAAATACTTTATTCCATTATTTTTCTTTACTGGTTGAATCGAGCAAGACAGAGTAAGAAAAGGTCTTTTGTTCTTAATATGACTCAAATGAGAACAAGAGAGGAGAAATTTGGAGAAAAGGATGTGTTTTCTTTTTTGTATACTGTATCTTCTAGATGATCTGGGAGGTATTAAATGGAGTGCCATCTGCTCATTAATAAGTTGTTTGGTTTTTTTTTTGTTCTCCTTCTGGCTGTAGGGGTGAAGATATTTTGTCCATTCTTACAGAAGTTAATGAAGATGTGGGCAGACGTGTTGACCGCTTGGGGACAAAGAAGCAGATGCCCCAACCAGCATATACCTTAAGAAGAAAATTTATATTCCCAATACCTAGAGACCCTCCTCCTTCACAGCAACATTGAGGCTTTTAAAGTACGTCCTTTTATCAGCACATGTTATTTAAATGCAATTAACCACACTACCTGTTTTAAGGCAGTTACCCAGAATCCTGAGGAACCGTTAGCTTCAAGGCAAGGCCTCTTAAATTTTTTACCAAACAAACTGTGAAACTTTTTGTTGTGAGGAGGCACAACTAAAATAATCAATGTGCCAGCTATTTACATCATCTATATATATCAGGGTTGGGAGAAGCATGCTTCTATTGTGTAAAACGTTTTCGTACTTGCACAGAGTGCAGATGTAAAAGTGTTTTTCTGACAGCATAAGCATTGCATGTAGCCTTCCATATCTAAACCAGGGTTGTTAATGGTCTGGTTCAGACTCATCGTGTTTTATTTTGCATGCTAACAATTCTAAATCCTGCCTTTAAATCCACTAGCTATGTTCATAGAGAAAGACGAAGGAGGGAATGAAGAGGAGAAAGCTTAAGTAGTGAGTGGAAAAGGATTTCTTCCATCTCAAATTTAAATTACGTTTAACTTGATGGAGAACCAGTTAACTACTGAAATCAGTAATTTGTTCCACAGTGCATGCTGATACCGTCCAATAGCTAACATAAACCTCATGTACAATGAGATCTTTCCAAAACTGAGTAAAGCCAAAACGCAGTGTAGTATTCCCTCTGTGAAACCTTGTGAACTGTCATTTCCCTTTCCCCATCACTTCTGGGAAGAAAAGTTAGGGTAGAAGATTTGCACACTATGAAATAATGGCATTCAGCAGTGTATCTGTATAGGTTTATCAGATTGATTAACTTTGTTAAGCATTAAATTTTCTGATTATCATTTCTTGTTTTACGATCTAAAATGCAGCCATATGAGAAACAAGGCTTCTTGTTGATTAAGCTTCTAACAGCATTTTGTGAGTTAACAGAAATAATGTCATGTTGGTTTTTTGTGAGCATTTACTATGTATGTCTGTCTCCTCCTTCTTTGTTACTGCATTAAATTTGTACTTCTTTTTAAGAGCTTGGTGAGATAAATATTATGTACTGGGGTAAGGCTTATCCTTGTTTCTGACTGGCCCCTGCACTTTGTTGGGCTGCATGAGTCAGTGGGGTTTTAACTGCCTCAGGGTTTGAGCTGAAGTGAAACTTAGTTTATTTCAGCAGAACCCTGATTGTTACATATGATTGCTAGCCATAAGTTAGGATGAAGATTTGAAAGAGTACTGTTTAGTGCTGTAGAACACAATTCTTAGCTTGCACTATCCAGGATTTTTAGGAGGGGAGTTCTGCATCATACAGAGCGTTAAAATGCAGCCAGTTTGCCAAAACATAATGGTGACTTTTTATCATGATGAATTGACAGTTGTGTGACCCATCACATTTTGAGTCTTCTGAGTTAGTATGGCTGCCACACTTAAAGTCACGATTGTGCCACAGATAGAAAATGTTTTGTCTGTTAGTAGAATATATATATAATGTATTTTAATAGAATCGTGAAGTTTCTGTCTCGCAATTACTGTTCAGACTTGGTGCAATCTTGCTTTGTATGTTTAGATTGGATTTTTTGATTGGATTTGTATCAGTACGGAGTAAACATGGACAACAGTTTTGACTGTGGTTTAGCCCGGCAGGCAGCTATATACCATGCAGCCATTTGCTCACTCTCCCCCTCCCCAGTGGGA